GGTGGGAGCCAGGACACGGGGTGGGCAGGACACCGGGCGGGGCCAGGACAAGCCGCGGGAGGGTGGGGTTCCTGACACAACTGGCGTGCACGGGAGGGGCTGTGGCGATTCACCATCGCAGTGGCCTCCAGCTGTCATCCCCTAAGACTAGCACAGCTCACAGATAGGATGGCATCACTTGCTCTCTCTTCCTGGCCCGGCTGTGTCTGTCTCTCACAGACACCCTGGACGTGTAGAGGGCAGAGACGTGAGGCCACTGGGGTTAAAGCTGCGAGGAGGTGGGGGAGGGCAAGAATGCAGGGTCGTCAAGGAAGACCCCACAGCTGTGGCAGGACCCTCTGTGGCCACGCCCACGAATACGTATGTGAACGGAACCGACCCTGCCACGCCAGGACAGTCAGGTGCTTCCCAGTCCCTCCACGCCCCTCGAGGAAATACAGAACGAACTGGGAGTCAGTAAGTATCCAAATTTGCCTACATCACTATTAATCTCCGTGCAAAGAATTGTTTATTTTACTTTATTCACCATTATTATCAATTTTTTAAAATTTGCCATAGGGCACATGCGCTCACCAGAGAGAGGAACAGTGAGAAGGCAAGCCACCAGGTCCAGGACTCGAACTGCAATCGGCCACGTGTGAACCCAGTGCCCCAACCGTCATGCCACCTGCTGACGCTGTTACCATGAAGCTTTACCTTAGAAGATGCACTGAACTATTGCCGACGGCTGCAGAAACCCGGCGGCCTCCCCAGCACTCACGTTCGGAGCCTCGCCGTCAGCCTCCCCCAGCTCCCCACTCAGCCCACACGCCTCTGCTCGTGGCCCTGAGACTGAGACGTGGGGCCTGCTGTGAGCACACGCTCACGGGACGTGGGATTCTCTAGTTGTGAAGTTGTATGCAGCCAGGAACCAGGACGGGCCCTGGCCGAGGGAAGGAAACCACGGCTCACCCACACCCACGCAGTCTTACGAGGGATGGAAAGAAGGGGAAGGGGGCTCCATAAGGAAGGTACCAGTTAGTCGGCTAGCTCATGAACAGGCGACACGGCCCTGAAGTCTCGTGAGACCTGGAGGTTCCATGGCCCTCGGAAGTGAGAAAACCAGGGCACAGAGAGGCTGGGGACCAGGCCGAGGTCACGCTTCTAGGTATGACAAGGGGAGCAGGAGAGTCCAGGTGTGTCCAAGTCCACACTCCTCTATCCTGACTCCTGGTTCCCTTGTTACACACTGGAGCCTGGACGATGTACCCACATAGGCCTGTGCCCACCGGCTTGCCTTCTCCGGAGTTCACCATCCAGCCTGCGAGTCAGGGGAGCATGAAAACACCCATGGTGAGCACCATGAAGGGGGCCTGGGAAAAGGGAGCAAGGCCACCGTGGGAGGAGGGGGAGAGTCAGGGTCAGACCACGCCCACGGGAAAGTGTCCAGCAGCTAGGCCTGGGGGGTTAGAGCTCCCTAACAAACAAAGTGAGCAGAGGGGAGAAGGTGAACAGCGGCGAGAAGGTGTAGGGCAGGGGAGAAGGTGCAGGGCAGGGGGAGAAGGTGCAGAGTGGGGAGAAGGTGCAAGCAGGGGAGGGGAAGCAGGGCACAGGGTGGCAAGGCCACCAGAAGCCCGGGCAGTGCAGGGCAGGGCAGGGCAGGGCAGGGCAGGGCAGCTGCACTGTGGGGCGCTGGAAGACTGTCCTGGGGTGAAGAGCGAGCAAAGCAAGGCCCTGAGGTGATTCGGACTGGAAGAGGGCGCCCAGCACCGGGCTCCAGACCCGGCAGTGACAAGTGGTTCTCCTGATGGAGTTTGGAGTTTCTCTCAGGAGACTCAAAGCAGGAGGTGTCAGGAGCTGATGGGCTTATACTTCCGCCCACTGAAGCCTGTGTGGACAGAGTACTTGGGAAGGGCATGAGAAGGCAGGGACACCAGATGGGCGGTCTGGGCAGAAGTCCCGGTGGTAGAGGGTGGTGGCTAGGACTGGGTGTAGTGGTGGGCTGGAGAGAAGTGGATGGACCCAAGGGCCGTTCAGGAGTGTGGGGCCAGACGACAGAGAAGCCGGCGTGGCAGTCCCGAGTCACCCACGTCGCCTGTCTTCCCAGACACTCAGAGCAGCGAGTTCTCCTGAGGGATCTGTGCTGTGAAAGGACACAGGGCAGGGCAGAAGAGCCTGAAGGGGAAGGCCTGGAGAGGGGTGACAGCCTGGGTCCGATCTAACATGTCTCTCCCAGGCAGCTGCAGGTCGGGGCAGTGGTTTCACCGCCTGCCTTTGGCACGTTCTCCACAACGCGGGCAGGACTGGGTGGCTTCTGAGCGCCCTAGGACAGCTTTCTCTGATCCAAAGGCCAGCGTTGGTTATTTCTGGGATTTTTCTAGAGCCGTGAATGTTTCAATCCCTCACTAGCGTCCTCTGGGCTTTAGAACACGTGGACCACCTCTCAGGGGTACAGGGATCTGGAATGCGAGTGAACTTCACCACAAGCTTGCGCGAGCAGTGTAAGCCAGGCAAGCAAAGTGAGGCAGTGAACGGCGGGACTCGTTTATGACACCAGGGAGGCAGAGCAGGTTTGCACTCCTACCAGAACATTTTAGTAAACTTGAACGAAATTTAAAGAAGCGAGATTGTTCTTTGGAAGTATCACTGAATCTAGGCTATAGCAAATTACGTCGAAATAGTTTTGGGTGTGTGTCTATTACATTTGAATTCACATGCCACAGTTTTCTTTATAAGCAAGACTCTATACTGACCAGGTATGAAACTTTTTTTTTTTTCCAGAGGTTTTTTTTGCTATAGGGCACATGTGATTGCAGGAAAAGAGACAGACAGAAAGTGACAAATCACTCCCCAGGGGGATGGCCACGCCGCAATCCCTTCTCCTCCATTCTCCTCTCAGGATTTTGGGCATGCATGCACATGTGCCCCAGCATGAGTTTCAAGTCGCCGGGTCTAGGACTTGAACTGCGGTCAACTACATGGGAGTCCAGTGACGTAACCATTACGCCATCTGCTAGTCCCTAAAAGCTCTTTTAATACTGCAGTACTAACTTCCTGTAACTCAGCTAGTGATGACTTGAAATAATCATTTTTCGTTATTTATAAGGAAGATATATTAACGTGTACTGTTTCAGGAAAAATGCTTTTGAAAAAAATTTTGCCAGAGGGTATGTGCACTTGCTGAAGAGACACAGAGACAGGAAGAGAGAACATGAGCAAGCACCTCCTGGGGGATGGTCCCACCGTAAACCCTTCTCCATTTCTTCTCCCTTCAGGATTTTGGGCACGTGCTGTCGGCATGCCCCTGCAGCTGCCGGGTCAAGGACTGGAACTGCACAGTCGGCCAAGAGGGGTCTGGCTGCCTTAACTACCAGGCCATTGGCTGGCCTCTTAAGAAAAAAAAAACTTTAAAATGGAAAAGAACTACTTCATAGCGCCTTAACTACCAGGCCGTGGACTGGCCTCTTAAAAAAAAAATAAACTTTAAAATGGAAAAGAACTACTTCATAGGAGCGAAGGTTTTTAAATGGCATTGCCTATTAATTGGTTAATAATGAATTTAATTTGTTTCGGTCGCACTTACCAGGTCCTTGGCATTCAGAGACACTTCGTCCCACCAGGGGGAGATGAAGTAGTACTCGCAGTTGAGGATTCTCCTGAACATGAACTGGTCTCCTCTTTCATCATAGAACGGTTCAAATCCACAAAGCCTGCAGGGGCAACAGACAGACAATAAATGTCTCTAAAAGCCTGAGCCTATGTTATCAAATTTCTACAGAAACCCTAGACTTCCGTTCCCACAGCGCCCTGCTCCAAAAGCCAGGACACTCTGCACATACACAGCCTCGTCCTCACTCACCACTGGCCGTGGGACTTGCAGTCACATCTTCAGGAAGAGTGAATACAAAACCAATTTAGATTTATTATTTTCTTTTCAGGTGTTTGCCATAGGGCATGTGAGAGACAGAGAGAGAGAGAGTGAGGGGAAGTGAGAGAAGTCACGGCCATGCTGCAGTCTCTGCTCCTCCTCTGTCCTCCTGGTATCTGGACACACACGTACACGTGCCTGGCATGAATTTCAAGCCGCCGGGCCTGAGACTCAAACAGTAGTTGGCCATGTGGGAGAGAGTCCAGCGCCTTCAGCACCTGCTGGTGCCCCCACTTAGCATCTCTAAGCGGTCATAACAGTAATGATGACACACAAAGGGACAACGACAAAAGCCAACGTTATTACAGGCCCTATGCCAGGGACGTTCCATGGACTTTTTTTCACAGAAATTGAGAACCCAGACAGATTCTGGTTAAAGTTCAAATCATATAAAGTGGAAGAGTTAAGATTTTGAAATGAGAAAGATTGAAAAGTGTGTGGAAGGGCTGCATGGGGAGGCGGGGTAAGGTGTGATGCTCGGAGCGACCCCCATGGGAAGGCTGGGGCTCACACCCCGGGACTCAGAGCACCCTGAGCTCGCGCATGCACAGGAGCCCGGCTGGCCGAGGTGGGGTGGGGATGCCATCTCTCCATTTCTCACAAAAAACAAACGAATAAATATAAAAGTGGGAAGAAGACTCTTCACTCAATTTTATGTAGCTGGTTCTCTGTGGAGAAGAGTATTTATTGCCATTCTCTTTTAGTTTGGATTTCAGAACAATCAAAGAAGGCCTGAGACTGTTGTCAGAGGACGGTTTTTGAAATGCCTTATGCCGCGCATGGATGCCGCCTGCAGCAGCACACAGCCCAGAGGCACGTCACCCTCACACAACGTGGACCCCGCGCTGCACAGCTGAAGGCCGCTCCACTGTGTTCCCTGCACGTCCCACGGCAGGGCAGAGTGGGGAAAGGCAGGGGGGAGAGGCGGGAGGAAGGGGATGGCCACGCCGCAATCCCTTCTCCTCCATTCTCCTCTCGGGATCTTGGGTACGCATGCACATGCGCCCGGCCAGAGGACGGTTTTTGAAATGCCTTATGCCGCGCATGGATGCCGCCTGCAGCAGCACGCAGCCCAGAGGCACGTCACCCTCACACAACGTGGACCCCGCGCTGCACAGCTGAGGGCCGCTCCACTGTGTTCCCTGCCGTGGGACGTGGGGAAAGGCGGGAGGAACTATAAGGTGTCCTAAAGAGAGAGAGGAGAAGCCAGTGCTGGCCTGGGACCTCGGCTGCTGGGTAAAGGAGGGCCTGAAATCGAGGGACCTAGGGGGACGGACGGCAGGGCCCGTGTCAGGCGTGTGGTGCACGTGTCACAGTGGAGAAGCGGGAGCCGGCGAGACGAGTCCAGTAAAGACATCTTCTCAGATTCTCTCGAGCCAGCCTGGTCGTGCAGAACATGGAAACTTCACGTACACCCGAATACGGTGGGCTGCTGGGAGCAAGCAGGTCCTCATGTCCTAGGCATGTCCCACTGCAGGAGGCTTTCTCTCTCCGCTGTTCTGGAGCCAGTCTACACATAACTTGCTTGGGAACTAACAGGCTGTTTATTTTAGATGAGGTGAAACCACGTGAAATCGGAGCAAGGTCGCCAGGCGGACTGGGCTTCCGCATTCCCCGCTGTGCTCCAGTAACGGGCTGCCCCCAGTCTGCCCCGCGCCGCACAGCAGAGGACACGCAGAAAAGCCCCAGGGAAACGATCAAATAAAAGCGGTGCTCACTTTCAGAAAATTCTGTCCCCAGCTACGTTGAGAATGTGATAGAAAGCCTCACGAGCGTCGCAGGGACCTAGAAAACGACGGCGCAGACAAGCAGTTTGCATACTTACAAGATGTAGGTGATTACTCCTACAGACCACATGTCCACCTCGGGCCCATAGGCACAGCCCCGGAGGATCTCAGGCGCTGCAGAAAGAGCACAAAGCCTGTTAAACACTCTACCAACGAGCAGTGCGGGAAAGAGGAATTCAACAAAACTTAGGGCAGTTTTAAACCCAACCTTCTCTCTCAACCTCCGTGTGAGACTGCAACTTCTTAGGTCTACTTCAGTGGAGAGATTATACTCTCATAGATTTGGGGATGCATAAAAATCACGCTATCGACTTTAATATTCCACACTGAAACATCATGATACTGCTCAAGTTAGATCGATAAAGCTGTACCCTTCTACCAACGGCTCCTTACTTCAGAACAGGAGAATTAAGCCCAGAAGGGGAGAAGGCATGACTGGCTCCCCGAGGGCCACGCTGCTTGGAGCAGGGGTGCCGGAGAGCCAGTCTGACAACGGTCGGGCAGGGACCAGGGCAGACGGTGGGCAGGACGGTCTCTCTCCAGCTGTCTCCTTAGGGTGTTGGGACAGGAGCTGGGACGGACCCTGGCATGCGTCTCTGCGCTGAGAGCTGCATGTAGGTCCTGGTCCCCAGAGAATGACTGACCCCAGCCAGCTTGGGATCGTGAACTGAGAGGGGACTTGCTGTGACAGCAGGCGCTCCTGGCAGTGCTCCACCTTTGTGAAAGGGAAGGTCTCCCAGCCAGGAAACGGCCCCGGAGCAGAGTGGCAAGAGCTTTCACGTTTTTATGACACTCTGGCTCTGAAAAGGCAGTTCACTGGGTCCAGTCACTGGCACTCAGGATTGGGGGTGCTGTTTCCCTAACTTGTAACAAAGGGAGAAAACCAAAAGAGAGATCTGCCAACTGGGTTGAGACCTACAGTCCAGGGCAACCTGCTCCTGCTTTGAAGAGAAGTGTGGGTCAGTGTGGTCATCAGAGAGGGGCGGTGTGGCTGTCAGAGAGGGGCGGTGTGGTCATCAGAGAGGGGCGGTGTGGTCATCAGAGAGGGGTGGTGTGGTCATCAGAGAGGGGTGGTGTGGCCATCAGAGTGTCTTCAGTGGGGCGTGGTGTGGTGATCAGAGAGGGGCGGTGGGTGGATCAGAGAGGGGCGGTGTGGTCATCAGAGAGGGGCGGTGTGGCTGTCAGAGAGGGGTGGTGTGGTCATCAGAGAGGGGCGGTGTGGTCATCAGAGAGGGGTGGTGTGGTCATCAGAGAGGGGTGGTGTGGCCATCAGAGGGGGGCAGTGTGGCCATCAGCTGGGAGAGGGGTGCTCACAGGGCTCTCTAGATCTGATCAACAGGAAGAGCCCTGGGCCCTCTCTGCGGCCACCTTCCTGAACTGCCCCTGCCACTCTTCCTGTCAGGAGTCTCTCTCCAGCAGAACAGAGGTTCCCTGACACTCGGGGAGACGGGTGTGCCCTCCGGCAGGGACATGGTGGTCCCAGGTGCGCCCTCCGAGCGCCGTCCCGTCCCTGGAGCTGGGCTTCCCCTGGCTGTGGGGTCAGCCACTCCGGGGCACATCCCTTCTAAGAGCTAGCCAACGCGACTTGGAGACGCACACGCTCCATGCCAGCATCACCGTGCTGTTGGTCAGGCGTTCCCGGCCCCTGGGCAGTCTGTCCCTCACAGAAGGTGCCCCGAGCCCCAGCAGCCCCACAACGGAGGCCCCAAGGCGAAGGCTTTGCTCATCGGAGCGCGGAGGGCATGGAGTGGGTGCCACCCCGAGCTGCCGCCCGCCGATTCGCGTGCGTGTCTGCCCGTCTTTTCTCCCGGGTCCTCGCAGCCTAATCCGGATCCGGCCTCAAACGCCATCAAGTCTCACACTAACATTTAAACATAGACACAGAAAAGCGTCAGGGAAGGTCTTTTGTCTTTGCTGGGTCTTGGTTTTTACCTCTAAAATCTAAAATGGAGCAGCTGATTGCCGACGCGCTTCCGACGTGAACCTGCTGCGCTGTGATCAGGAAAGACGCGGCTGCTCAGCGCTCCCGTGCGGACCGAGGACAGAGACTGGCACGCCACCCGCGGGGCCTGCGACCCCCTGCTCTGGCTTAGACATGTCTCCTCATATTCACGTGTCGCCATTTGCCGAGCCAGGTGACGGTACTAAGGGGGTGGCAACCTAACGTGCCTGGGAGTGAGGTGGACCTGTCTGAGGGGTTCGGGGTAAGTCATCATGGGGGCCATGATCGAGCCCGGGCAGGCGAGGGGTGAGACGGACACAGGAACGCACTGCAGTGTGCACAGGCTGGGGCCCTTATCGCGGGGTGCTCCACCACCTCGGGTCCTGCCCACAAGAGGACCCTTCCCAGACGTGGCCCCTTGACTCTGAACCTCAAAACTGTGAGCTAAATAAACCTCTGCTCTTCAGAAACGACCCAGTCTACGGGATTCTGGTTTTGAGCAACAGAGAACAGACTAAGGCGAGTCCCCGCTTCTCCTAGAGAGGTCACTGCACTGCCGGTGGGGACAGCCTGTGGTCCTCGTGACCGGCCCGCCCACCCTGTGCTGACAGAGACACGGGCCGGGTGTTCTCTGCCACCGCTGCACCCAGGCTCAGCCCGAGGAGTGGAGAAGTGCTCGTCGGACCCAGTCAGAGGGCGCTGGGTCTCCGGTGGCACAGGCGGTTCCTGACCAGCCGGCCTAGCACCGGCGAGGGCTTGCTCTTTGGACGGCGTTCTGCTGCGTGGTGCGTGAGCTACTGGGATTCCCGCTGCAGAGTGACTGAGTGAGGAATGCAGGGTGTTTCCACCCTCTACAATACATTTCTCTTAAAGAGACGTTTTAAAAAGTTTTCATCATTCTAAATCATAATATAAGGTTGAGTGATATAAAATCCAAACACCTGGACGAAAGTAGGTGCCATTCTCAGTGAGCTCACCATTTTCAGTCCCCAGTTAATGCAAGCTTGGCTCTCTTCTGACCAGCAGGCCACACTCAGCAACCTGCCTGAACCCATTCCAAGAGCCAGAACTTCCCTAGAACAAACCCCAGACTCGGGCACACCGGCGCGTCCAGTGTCCCGGGGACAAATGTCCTCACAAACAGGTCTCCTGATCTGCCACCTCTCCGAGTGAGGCATGGTGGCGACTTTCACTTCATTCCGTTCATGAAGACACCAGCTAGCAGACCGTTCGATGCCATGAGCACCTGGGCAGGCGTCCCTCCCTCTCCCTCATTACCAGACAAAATAAACAAAGCAGACGGAGAAAAGAATCATCCCAACATGTCAAACAATTCCGAAAACACACAGGGAGGCCGTGGACGCCCCTTTTCTGGAGCAGTCAGCAAGCACAGGCTGACTTCTAGCTGTCGTTAAGTGGGTCCGCAGTTTCACTGCTTCCTAAAACGGCCTCGTTCATCACATTACTGATCAGACACGAGATGAGGACCTGCCACCACGGCAAAGATGCATGTGCCTCAGGCTGGGCCACGTGTGAGGCCTGGGTTTGATTCCCCACCCAGCTCACAGGCACCTGCAATCCAGTGACTCAGGCAGCTGAGCCGCAGGGTCACGAGCTTCGAGGGGACTGGGCAACGTAGCAAGATGGCATCTGAAAAGCTGCGTGTGGTGTTTGTGGCCCCAGCCGGGGGGCCGAGGCAGGAGGATTGCTACACGTCAGGCACCCTGACAGACGGACAAGCATGCACACACCACTAAATGCTACGGAGCTCCCAGAATCATTCTGGGAAACGATCTTAGAATGCCCATGATGCCAGCCTTACCCTTTCAAAGAAAAGCACTCAGGGACAGCTGGTGGTGTGGAGGTGGTGGGGCTGGATCCCACATGACTGACAGCACGGTTCAAGTCCCAGACCTGGTGGCCTGAAATTCACTCTGGGCATGTGTGTGTGCGTGCCCAAAATCCTGAGAGGAGAAGGGAGGAGGAGGGACTGCAGTGTGACTATTCTGCCCAGGGGCTGATTTCCCACTTTCCCTCTCTCTCTGTCTCTCTCTGCTGAGCTCACATGCACTATAGCAAAAATACTAAAAATAAAACAAAAATTAAAAAGTGATTTTAACTGAATATACAAATTACACAAAAAAGTCCAAACTTTAATTATGCTATTTATTCACCACACACCGCCTGGACCACGTATGCTGCACCTGAGTATGTACGCATGTACATATGCATGTATGTTCATTTCCACCTTTCATGAGCGAGGAGGAGGAGGAGGAGGAGGAGGAGGAGGAGCACCCTCGACCAGGCCTCACGCAGCTCTGCCCCCTTCCAGCCAGGCAGGGTCACGGGTGCTCCAGCCCAGGCCACGCAGGCCCACAGGGAGACCAAACCCACGCGTCCCTGGGCACCAGGCTCAGCAGTGCCGCCCTCCTGGCACCTAGTTAGACTCCCCTTCTTCCGAGATCGTGGCGTCATTCAAACATCTAGACATTGAAGGTCCGCCTGGATACGGAGACGGACTCCATTTATTGAATAAAATCATCTTAACCAGTTTTCAAAATGGTCCTGAAATGAAAAGCCCCGGGTGAAGCCAGGGCGCACGGACGGATCCGGGAGCTAGATTGGCCTTCCTGAAGCTCTGGAAGAAAAACAGAGGAACGGTTTTCGTCTCCAACGATTTCAGGACCTTGACTTCAGTCGGTGCCACCGGTGAGCTTTAAGGTCCTTTCCTACTTACTAAGGTAAAACTGGGGGGACAGTCTCTACCAGAGGCTTTTTCAAGCTACTTCTTTTCTGAGAAAAGCCAAACCTGGGGAACTCGGGAGATGAAGTCAACAGGGTCATTCACTGCTCACTGAGTCCGTCACCAAGCGTCAACGGCACCGCTGTGTGGAGGCAGGGGGCCCTGCGAGAGTGACGGGAGCCAGAGGCCCTGCCACCATGGAACTTGGCCGCAGGGGAGGCGCTAGCCAGGAAGTCAAGCCAAGAACCGGAAGTGTGGGGACCAGCAGTTGGCGTAATGGCTATGTCGCTGGACTCCCATGTAGTCGACTGCGGTTTGTGTCCCAGACCCAGTGGCTTAAACTCATGCCGGGCACGAGAGAGCATGCGTGCCTAAGATCCCAAGAGGAGAATGGAGGAGAAGGGATTGCGGCGTGGCCATCCCCCCAGG